TAGCCCGGGGCGCCAAATCGCACCATGCTGGGGCGCCGGCGGAATCGCCTGTTTCAGCTTTAAAAAGGACTATAATACCCCAACTTATTCATAGTCTTTTGCACTCACTTAAACGAACGTAGGTGCCAAACCAAACACGGTAGGCCCGGGGCCCCAAATAGCACCCTGTCTGGGCGCCAGAGGACGCCCGGATTCGTTTCACTTAAAGACTATAGTAACCTTTCTTATCCATACTCTATCGCACTGTTTAAAGCGAAATTATGCACCATAGCGCTCACAGGATAGCCCAGGGCGCCAAATTGAACCCTGGTGGGGCGCCGGCGGACGCGCCTGTTTCAATTTAATGAACAATTATAATACTCCAAGCTTATCCGTGAACGGAAAGAAATAAACATATAGGACATGTAGGACCTGGCTTATTAACTGTTATTGATTTAAAAAATAATTAGTAAACAATTAGCTCAGTGTATAGAATAAATAAAAGGCAGTGTTAAAAATACCTACAACATTTGCATTTGATCAATCCCCGCTAATTAAGTAATTTTTTTCCAAACACCAAAACAAAGTAATAAAAGTACATTCTTTTCCACGAATGCAGTGTTTTATAAAGGGAAGTAATTGTGTTTTCCTAATTTATCAAAGGGAATTAAGTGCTAAAGAGCTAAATATAAATAATTTTCAGACATAATTAGAATTTTTGTAAAAGATGATATTTTTTAAAATTGTGTTTAATGAACATGCCGACAATTATTACTATCAGTTTGAAAAATGAAAATTATTTCCCAACACTTTCAGTATTAATTTTTTAAAACCATGAATTTAGGCCAAGAGCGCTTTAATTATCTAACACTTGAATCCATCGAAGTATCCACGACAAACTTATTACAAACATTTTACATACATAATTGCGCTTTATATATTAGAGTTTTTATAAAGGGAAGTAATTGTGTTTTCGTAATTTATCAAAGGGAAGTAAGTGCTAAAAGAATTAAATATAAATAATTTTCAGACATAATTACAATTTTTGTAAAAGATGATATTTAACACTTGAATCCATCGAAGTATCCACGACAAATCTTATTACAAAAATTTTACATATAGAATTGAGCTTTATATATTAGATTAATATTTTGCACTAGTATGCACACATTGTTTGTTGTTCATTTGGTGCGCAATTTTTTCGTCGAGGTTTTATTCTATTTTTTAAAGCTAAGTACTTAAAAATTGAGTAAAATCATGTCTATATCCCACAGTAAAGTGAATAAATATAAAATTGACAGGCTTCAAAGCCTGTCTCCACAAGCACGTAATGGCTAATTTTACCAAAGGCATACTAGCCAAAAAATTCTTTCATAAATCTTTATTGTTTTCCCATTTTTCGATAAAATCTTGAAACGTCTCTTTTATTAAGCTTTCTACTGACAGTGCAGTTTTGTATTTAACAGTGCATCTGTATCAGAAATTCATAGAGAATCCATTTCATTCATGAAATGCTTTTATTGCTACGTGTGGCTAGATCAATATTAGATCGATTTTTTTTTTCGTGACTGGCTATAAAATACGTCAGTTGCCTGTCCAGACTCGTCTTGTTTGGAACTAAGATATTGGCGCGAAACTATGTATTGAAACGTGTATCAGAAAAATGATTTATCGTGTAGCCAGCAGGAGGTTTAACTAGGATTTATTTGTTTATAACCATTAGCTTTTTGATACCTATTATACGTGTTTAAAATGTTAAATTGTAACGTCATATTTCAGTGTAAAAATGGAGCAGAGATTTAGCGAGGGGGGAGGGGGGGGGGGGGGGGCGGGTGTTACGGACCGCACCGGGCGACACCATTTAGGGGGTACACCAAGGCAAACAATGGCAAAATATATACAGAAAATTGATAATTTCACCTAAGGTGGACTAATCCCGACACGGGTGTTGGTGGGAGATGAGGGGTGACACTATGACGTAAACCTGCTAATGATAAAGAAAACATGCAACATTCAGCTGAATTAATAACCGAATATAGATAAAAATCATTAGTTTTATCTAAGCACAGTGTAAAGCAATCACCGTGGGGGTGACAAGGGGGGGGGGGGGGGAGTTACATCAACTCAACGTTGCAATATATACGGTTTGGTTGAGAATCGTAAAAAGCTATGTTAATCCATGTATGGGGTGGGGGGGGGGGGTAAAAAGATCAAATACATCCACCAAAATAAATTATTTGAATACATATTATTATACACATGCGTATACACATTCTTACAAGTGTATATGCAATTTATATATATATATAACATATATGTCCCCCCCGCCCGCCCCCCATCGCTACGCTACTGCAGTGTCACTTATCGTCACAAAAAACAGTACCCACATTCAAAAATATGTTTTTTATCTTTTAAAAACACCGAAAACACCGATTTCGGACTATCTCTTCATATACTGACGTCACAGGTGACCTACTCAACTCTACTTCACCTGCCCAGTGTCCCGCCAAGTCTCAGACAACATGTTTTTTATCGTTTAAAAAAACGATTCCAGCCGAGCATGTCTCTGGCCACACTATCCCTTCATATGCTTAGGACAAAGAAACAGACTAACTCTACTTCACCTGCTCTGTATCTCGCCAAGTTCAGATAGGCAGATTTATCTAGATCTATCTAGATCTAGATAGATAAATCACAAAGATTTATATCAAGTATTTAAGGACTAAAAATGTATTCTGATTATAAAATGGATTGTATCTAATTAATCTTTTGTTTGACCTAGATTCTAGATCTAGATCTATAAATAACTTGCTTGGCCACATGATATTTTTAGATCTATAAATAACTTTCTTGGACAAATTGTAGATCTAGAGAAATTTATTGTAAAACTAAATGAAAAAGACAGTTGAAAATTTATACAAGTGTTGGAACGTAATAAAAACAGCAAACGGACGTATTGTTAAAATTATGGCCGATAGAAAATTAGATTTAGAACGCGTTAAACTTTTGAATGGGCCTATGATGGAAGCCGCCATTTTATTGTACTAAAAAGTAAACAAAAAAATGTGACGTCACTGTTTCGTCGAGTCTAGCGGTTTTTCTATCTTTTAAAATTAATGTGGTTAATCTACCTATGAATTATTCAATAAATTAATTAACGTCTTTAAATAAATGTGTGATTAACAGTCTGTCTGAAAAGAAAAATTGTTCTCTACCTACATACTATTTTACAGCTGTCCACGTAGAGTAGAACCCTTTACAATAGTCAATCAGACAAACAAACAAAAAATAAAAAAATAATAAATATTCAAACACATAAACAAACTTGAGTTTTAGTAGTATATAGATAGATATGACCAGGTCACTAGCAGACGTGTGGCCTTCTTAGTTAGGTCTTGTGCGACATTTCTTCACGGCACCCAAATGCGACAGAGGTGTGTACAACCTCCTGTGTGTAGGTATTTGCTCGCGGCTTAGGAATTCCCGCCTCTAGGCCGAGGACACCTCATTTGGTACCGATCCACCCACCTGATATAAAGAAGCACACTCTGCCCGCAGGTTCAAGATTCTAACACTTTATTTCTTCTTGAGTTGTCACTGTTCAGATAATTAGGTGAATCTAAACAACCTCCACGCACACACACACACAACACACACACACACATATATATATATATATATATATATATATATATATATATATATATATATATATATATATATTTATTTATTTATTTATTTATTTATTTATTTATTTATTAGGGGCCCGCAAAAAAATTTAGCAAGGGGCCCGCCCAAGCTTTATCCGCCTCTGCCATTGTAAACTTATCTGTGAACCGCAACTCATTAGACTGTTATCATACTGTTATGGTAATCGCGTCTAGCTAGTTATCTCTCCATCTGTTGTTGAATATATTCTAGTGATAAAATTTAGTCATCTGCCCTTAGTTTCGAAGCCGTTCAATTAATTTTTAATTACTAATTAATCATTCAATTAAATTAAAAGATAAATAGCCTTGTATTGTCAACGAAGTAGAACGTATTTGGAAAGTTTGAACGAAATTAGTGTGTTTAAAGTGCGTCAGAATTGAGTTACAAGATTTGCTACAACCCATATACAAACAAATAAACAAACATTGCTAACTAAATAAAAGCTTGTAAAAATAATAAAATTCTTTATCTTCTGTTTATGATTATAATTAAGGAATTTTTTATACGAACCTCAAAATTACTGCAACGATTTATCTCCTATTCAGTATTTGATCAATATTCCTACGTATGGCCGAATATACGGGTATTTGGGTCAAGTAGACTACCCATTGAGCCTATATTGCAAATAAAACCTTTCATTTGGTAAATACTGTTCATAGAACATTCAAGCGTTGGAGGAAAATCGTGGACTAACTATACAATCAAGATAAGTCATGTAAGTTAATTTTATTAACCTTCAAGGTAACTTTCTCTCAAATAAAGTAAACATCTTTATATTTACAGTATTAATAAAATGTGAGCAGTGTTTCTTTCGGATAATTTTTTCTCCTGGGCCGGGGTGGAATGACTGGTAAAAGTATGTATTTTCTATAGAATTTCCATTTTGTTCTTGGGGGGGGGGGGGTAGACTTTCTTCGGGGGGTGGGGGGGAGGGCCGAAGAGATGCCTGGAAGAAACTCTGAATATAAGGTAAAAGAAAGTTGTTTTTAAGAGCAAATATTTTAGAATGAAATTAATCTTAGGTATGAAAACTATTCGAAAATTGTTATTTCTGTAGGCGTGTATGACAAACAACAAAAGCACAATAATAAATGGAAAAACGCAGATATGGTGAAGTACAATCGGCTGCCAATTTAGATGAACTACTCGAAGCTTCTCAAATAGGGGATGCTAAAACTGTTGAACTTTTAATTAAAGGTGGCAGTGATATTAACGTTGTCAACAACAATGGATGCAATGCTTTAATGCTAGCCTCTCGAAATGGACATTTAAAAACTGTAGATCTCTTAATTAAAAGCGGCATTAATATTAAAGCTGTAGAAAATAATGGATGGAATGCATTGATGCTTGCATCTCAAAAAGGACATGAAAAAATTGTAGAACTTTTAATTAAAAGAGGAAGTGATGTTAACGCTATTGAAAGTAAAGGATGGAATTCATTAATGCTAGCCTCTTTAAAAGGACATGAAAACACTGTTGAAATTTTAATTAGGAGTCACAGCTATATAAATGCTGTTAACGAAAATGGATGGAATGCCCTAATGCTAGCCTCTCAAAATGGACATAAAACCACTGTAGAACTGTTAATAAAAAGAGGAAGTGAAGTTAAAGTTATTGAAAATAAGGGATGGAATGCTTTAATGATAGCCTCTCAAAATGGACATGAAAAAACTGTAGAATTTTTAATTCAAACCGGCTGTGACATAAATGAGGTTGACAGAGATGGATGGAATGCATTAATGCTAGCCTCTCAAAATGGACATCATAAAACTGTAGATCTTTTAATTGAATGGGGAAGCGATATTAAAGCTGTTACTTCAAGTGGATGGAATGCATTAATGCTAGCCTCTCGGGACGGAAATAAAAAAACTGTAGAACTGTTAATTAAAAGTGGCAGTGATATAAACGCTGTTGAAAATAAGGGATGGAATGCATTAATGTTTGCTTCTTTTGAAGGACATGAAAAAATTGTAGAGCTTTTAATTAACAGTTGCTGTGATATTAAAGCAGTTCAAAAAAGTGGATGGAATGCATTAATGCTAGCCTCTCAAAATGGGCATGAAAAAACTGCAGAGCTTTTAATTCTAAACGGTATAAATGTAAAAGCCATGCAAAGAGATGGGTGGAATGCATTAATGCTAGCCGCTCAAAATGGACATGAAAAAACTGTAGAACTTTTAATCAATTGCGGAAGTGATATGAAAACTGTTGACAATGAAGGATGGAATGCATTAATGCTAGCATCTCAAAATGGACATGAAAAAATAGTAAAACTTTTGATTAAAAATGGCTGTGATATTAAAGCAGTCAACATTTATGGATGTAATGCATTAATGCTAGCCTCTAATAAAGGACATGAAGAAATAGCAAAAATATTGGTTCAAAATGGTTGTAATTGGAATGATTTTAAGGAAAATGGCGCTAACTCCTGTAATGGTGGGCCTGAAAACAGATTTCGACAACTTGAATTACAATATGAAGGTACAAGTTATTATTTGAATGTTTAACATTTCTATACACTTTTTTCCTTGACATTTTATCTATCATAGTTTATTCATAAAACACATTATATTTTTAAACGCTTTTATATAGTTCACAACGCCTGTTTGTTTGTTTATTTGTTTGTGTCAAATCTTGTAACTCAGTTTTAACCCATTTCTAATGCAGCGATTTCGTTCAAACTTTCCAGATACGTTCCACTTCGATGACAATACAAGTATATCTATTTGTAATTTAATTAGATGTTTAATTAGTCATTAAAAATTAATTAAAAGGTTTTGAAACTAAGGGAACAGAATAAAATTAAATCACTCGATAGATTACAATATTCAATAACAGAAGGGGAGATAACTAACTTGGCACCATCCCTCTAACAGTCTGGTGAGCTGTGGTTCACGAGAATATTTACAATCGTAGAGCTTGTCAATCTAGTGAATGCTATAAGGGGCAGGTAAAAAAGATTTTTAACGATTTTAAACAAATGGGAGGTAACATGACTTAAAACTTGCTTCTTTCACAAGGCAGGTAATCGTCTTTTAGATATCGCAAGCTACTGATGGTGTTTTAGGGCAAAAAATTGTAGTCGTGTCGACGTCATATATTATAAATCACTAAAAAGTAGAAAAAAAAATATTTAAAAAAATTTCATAGCAACAAGATGTTAAATGCACTGAAAATAAGAAATAATTTGCTTTCTTTCACACTAGATAAACTAGACTTAGCCAGCCGTAGATTGTAGATCTAGCTCTAGATTTCTAGATCTATTTAGATCTAGTTAGATCTAGATCTAAAATCTGTGCCAATAAATTAGCTTCTATAGTTAACTTTTTCAAGCCTTAAATATTTTATATAAATCTTTATTTGTTTAGTAATGGAACTGGCTAAATTAGGATTTTATTTAATATAAATAATATTCACGTAATTTAACTTTGTTATGCTATATAAACTAGTACAATAAGTTTGTACATAAGTGTATATACCAAGCTGCCCGAGTTGATAGTACAATAGTTACCATGTCGGTGGTACGGGTTCAAGACACATCTTGTCAATATTAGATTTTATTTCTCGATGTAAATGATAGTTTCCTATTGGGACTTGACAGGACCCGGGGCAGGTGACGTAGAGTTTACCTGTTTCTGTAATCTCAGCTTTGAAATCGGTGTTTTAAAATGCTTGGCGGGACACGAGACAGCTGAAGTAGAGTTCGTCATGTGAAGTTGAGTTCAGATATATAGATATATAGATTTATAGATGTATAGATGTGTGGAGGATGTGTAGATTATGGGTAGATGAAGTGTACATGATGTGTAGATGATGGGTAGATGATGTGTAGATGAAGTGTAGATGATGTGTAGATGATGGGTAGATGATGTGTAGATGAAGTGTAGATGATGGGTAGATGATGTGTAGATGATGTGTAGATGATGGGTAGATGATGTGTAGGTGATGGGTAGATGATGTGTAGATGATGGGTAGATGATGTGTAGATGATGTGTAGATGATGTGTAGATGATGTGTAGATGATGTGTAGATAATGTGTAGATGATGTGTAGATATGTAGATGTGTAGATGATGTGTAGATGATGTGTAGATGATGTGTAGATGATGTGTAGATGATGTGTATATGATGGGTAGATGATGTGTAGATGAAGTGTAGATGATGTGTAGATGATGTGTAGATGATGTGTAGATATGTAGATGTGTAGATGTGTAGTTATACAGATATTCAGTTAATCAGATATACAGATATACAGATGATAGACGGATAGACGGATAGACATATAGACGAATACACGGATATTTTTAAAAATTGATTTCTTTTTAAAACATTTAATGAGCAGAGTTACCTTTAGATATCCATTCGGATTGGGGGGGGGGGGTAGAGTACGAACGAAAAAAAAATAACATGTTCAAAGAATAAAATATGTTTTTTAACCATTCTTATAAAGAAAAAAATAGATACACTAGCTCCTATCAGATTTAATTACAAAACTAAAGTGTTTTAAAATTGCTATTCCTTGAAGGGCGTAACTTAAGAAGGATGCTAAGTCCAGTGTTATTGTTCTCGATAAAGCTGGCTGGAACCTAATAGAAACGGGGTTATTAAAATCTGAAGTTTTGAAACTTAAAATAGATCGCCGAAGTGAATGGGGAGTAACAATTAGACAACTTATGTTTATACTGGCAGTAACATCATAGACCAGTGACTGACCCCACGTATGTTTAAAATAATCACATAATATTTGTGCTACGGTTGATATAAGAGAATTGATAGTGACACCTAAATATTTTTTCTTTCTGTTTTTTTTTATTTTTTTTTATTTTACTATGATTTGGGTTATTAATGCTATTGAAGTTTTATTCTTTGTTATTCTTTATTAATTTATCAGTAAATAATTGTTGCACGCCATTTAAATATCTATATTATAACATTATCTTCAGATCAAGAAAAGCCTATTCGTGGCCGACTGCAGGACAAATATTTCAGGATTCTACAGAAAGAATACCAAAACTTACTAACTGAAATAGATGCAAAATTTTTAATTCCTCATTTGTTTTCGAAAAACGTGATTGATTTAGATGCTCTTGAGAAAGTTCAGGCAGGTGTAACACGAAGAGAAAGAACAAGTGTGTTTCTACATATTTTATTTGAAGCTGGGCCAAAAAGAGCGTTCCCAGAATTTTTGAAAAGTTTAGAAAAAGAGTATCCACATGTTGCAGAGAGGCTGAAGAAGGAAATGTAAGAAGTCGACAATAAGTTTTCATCACTTTCATTATACACTGTATTCTTTATACTTTAAACTTCTTATCTCTAACAACTGTTATTTTTTTTAAGCTTACAATATTGTCCGTGTTTTATTTTGCTTATATTGTGTTCAATATTTCAAGTTTTTTATCTATATTCTACTAAAACTCAAATTTATTTACATGTTTGGATAAAAAAAAATTGTATTTTTTTTTTGCTTGTCTGATTGGTTACAGGAGAGAATTTGCAAAAGGTGTATCATCGGCTTATTTTATTTTTCACATATACATTACAATACAACAAACATAAAATCTTGTCTTGTTCAAGGCCACGTTGTTCATAAACACTCAAAAGAACACACGAACACAGTTTTCTGAAACCTTGAGAGAATTCAAGAAGAAGTATATGAAATGTAATTAATTTAAAACAGGAATTACCCTTCGCCATCCTTTACCGGCCCGGCTCCTTCATTTCCTCGCCCCTGTACACCTGAGTTTTTGGTAGTTTGCTTTAGATGAGCCCATGTAAGACCTGCAGCTCTTGCTTCTCCATCTATCGTCCTTATCCAGGACTGTTTTCTTTTCCCTTGTTAATCACTTCTATTCTCAGGGCAAACATGTAGAGGGTGAGGGGTTGGAAACATGCATGGCGTAATCGAATTGAGCTTGATTTTGAAACTACACTAACATTTATGTTAACTTTTGTTTATTTGCTTTTCAAAACTTGTTATTATTGATTTTTTTTAAATTGATTTTTTTTTCACTTCATTGGTTAGTAATAATTGGTTAGTAAATATTGTAATTTTGTATTCTTTGTTTTCCTGAAAACCGTGTTTCCTATCGGTCTACCCGAAAATTATGTTTCTATTTGTGTTTATAAGGGCATGCGTGTCGTGTAAAGTCGACTAAAATAAGACTTGACCTTTAAATTATACGTTTAACCGAATTAAACTTGCGAAGACGAAAACATCCCGTAAATTGTTACGGACAACGGATAGTTACCCCCCCCCCCCCTCCCCCATGCTAAGTTGTGGTTCCTGTTTGGACTATTATTCTGATATTAAATCCTGTTTGAACAACCAAATTGCCGGGTGAACATAAGAAGAAGCCAAGCAAGTCTGCGAGTACGACGTTTTTCAAAGCAGACTATTGATTTTTAGTTGGTTTATAGAAATCGATCCAACATTAATAATCAAGATTCTTTTCTCTCTGTTAGGATTTACTCCAGTCAGCATTGTAGAAAGATTTCTTTAAAATAGTTTTTTTAGAACTATAAAATTGTATTGAGTACGTTTTTTTATTATAACTTTTGGCAAGATTTAAATTAAATCGATTATTCAACAATATGTCATTTCTATTTCTTTTAAAACATGCATTTTAAAACATCACTGATTGTAGGAAGGCGCCGTCTCAGACCAGATTAGTCTGCAATACGACCAACGCAACAAAAATCATTGTGTGGTCGACTCATACTGAGTCAAACTCACAAAATCTTTGGGGAGTGCCTCAAACTGAGCATGCAGCCTTTCAATATTTAACAATTGATAGTGTTCTTGTCTTTATAAATGTAAATAATTATGAATTTGAAATATAACTAGATGACCCAGTTTTCCAAATGTCTCAAAAGCTGCCAACCAATGCACTCTGGGTCAATCATTTGTCGAGCTAAAATGTATTTAGTTTGATTTGGTGTTGAAAAAAAAAACATTATATAATTAGAATGGAATGATAAAGTGCAATGTGGTAGGAAAAAGACAGATATTTTAAATACTGCTTTATATTTATTTTATACACTGAACGTACTGTTAACTAATTATTATTTTTGATCAATAACAGTTTAGAAGCCGCTCTTAAATGTCCTCTATGTTTACGTCTGTCGGTTTGCGGACAAGCTTTGGGTATTATAGTCGTTCACTAAGTTGAATCAGGCACGTCAGCCGGCACCCCAGCAAGGTTCGATTTGGCACCCTGGATTATCCTGTGAGCGCTAAGGTGCAAACGTTCGTTTTAAACAGTGGGATAGACTATGGATAAGAAAGGTTACTAGCGTCCTTAACTGAATCGAATCCGGGCGTCCTACGGCGCCCCGGCAGGGTGCTATTTTGGCGCTCCGGGTCTTCCCGTGAGCGCTATGGCGATCGGTTTAGTGAGTCCAATAGACTATGGGTAAGCTAGGGTATTATAGTCGTATATAATTAAATCCTCGAATATAAAATCATAATTAATTGACACTTTTATTTCAAATTTTAAAATGAATATTATCGTAAAACAAAATACCCCCAGCCTGCTACAGTTTATGTACAATATTTATTCTCTTCAATTGACTGCATGTAAAGAGATTCATATTGAGTTTATGATCTGTTTGTGTTGTTACTGTTTAGATTTTTATTTCCGTTCTTTATTGTGTTCTCATTGTTTAAACTGTCACATGTGTTCTTTGTTGTGTAGGATGCCATGTTTGCTTATATGTTCATGGCGTTTTCTTTTGATTGGTCTGACCAATCACAACTTCATTCAACCACAATCGTTTGAAACAAATTACACACAAAGAATATTGCAACATTAAACAAGGATTAGCGGGCACACACATGTATATGAGAGAAGTAAAATACAGCGCCACCTATATGCCCGAGTAAAACACTAGACGGAATTAGAAACTACTGGAACTATCACTCAGACTATGAACGAGAGAATACTGGAAACTATCGTGCTAATATTAGAATTGATTTTTCATACCTCGATAAGCGGCAATCCTGTTTTACAAGTCTTTACCAAACTTCCTGGTTCCTTATCAGCCTTAACACACCACGACTTCGAAGTATTTCTCGTCTACAAAAATACCTTCACTAAAATAAACGGTGATCAGCGTATTTTGATTCCTGAAATATTCTCTTCATTTTCTATTTATTTATTCTTATCTTGTTTCTCTATATTATTCATCATGAATTTATGTCAACATAATTGTATCTATTGTTATCAGTCGTTTTTAGCTGTTCGTTTCCAAACCGGCTAAAAAAATTGGGACCTATACATTGCATAATACTTGTAAACATGGATGTAGGACAAAAGCTCGTCATGGAAAAACGTCCGACGTTCAAAAAGCCAACGGGATATAAGGTCGACTTAAAGGCCAATATAAAAAGGCAGACACCAAAAAGACCGACAGACTATAAGGCTGGCAAACCATAAGGCAGACGAAGGTGAAAAAATCCTAATATCGCAAAACTAAGGCTTACTACACACACAGACCATTCTAGACAAGCATCAAAGAACAAACCTAAAGGCCGTCGGTATCACTGCCTGTATGACATGGCTGAGAAAATGCTATTTAATATCTTTGTAATTGGTCCTAAGCGACTGGAGGAAATGGGAGTGTCTTAAACACAAAAAATAAACAAGTAGGCAGTTAAACTAACATATTTTGCCAACAAATGGAGGAAACCAACTGAAGTAAGTCGATCGCGTGCCTTAACAGAAATAAATTCCATGGCGTTTGGCCACACTGTCATATGTGCACTGTTTCTTCTTCGCTCTTTATATTTATGTTGGACGGGGTTTCCTCCAACACAAATTTTGTTATGCGTTGACCTCGATTTCAGCAAGTTTTTCTTTTTGGATGAGTTGCTGTCGCCAGCTATCGGGCCTCATTTGCCCGAGTTTTCGAATCGGGACTTCATGTATGTATACTAATTTTTTAAAATGTTTAAACATTTAATTATAAAGCCAGGACTTATGGATAAACTGTAGGAACATTTAATGTACCGTAAATTATTAGGATACTAATTAAAGATCTTGGACACATGTTATAACACTACAAATTGTAGTACAATCGATAACATCCGACACGGCTGCTACAACTGAAAGGGTTTTAATCTGTACTATCCCTAAGATGACGGAGTGGCTTAGCTTTAGAGAGCTAGACTGCTAACCCGTTAGTCTCGAGTTCGAATCCGGATCCAAAATCAGTAGAGGGCACTGAGTACACTTAGCTCTGATGGGTACCTAACTCACGAAAGTAAAGGCGGCTGGGCATAGCGCTGACCACACTTCCCCTTCATATGCCGAGAAACAGAAGCAGGTGAACTCTACTTCACTTGCTCTAGACATGTTTACTAGTCCTAAGGTTGTACAAAATAATACGGCACTGTGCTGTACTTTATCATTTTGTAACTTGTTTGATGTAATAAAAAAAACGTTTGCTCAAAAGAGTTTTTTTTATAAAACTTGTCGGCCTTATTTCCTGTTGATCTTTAGTTCATCTCGGCCTTTTGTTATTGTCGGCCTTTTGCAAATGTCGGCCTTTTGTTCAAGTCGGCCTTTTGTTCAAGTCGGCCTTTTGTCTATGTCTGCCTTTTATTCAGATCCCTGTAACTAAAATGTACTGCACTAATGAGAGTTTTGGGAGACAGACAAGAAAGACTGGTTGCATGTAAAATTTATAATTGTGTTGGCCGTTTATTGTTGTCTATTGGCTATACTTAATCCTAAAGACTGATGAAATTATACGTATACTACGTTATATCTCGAAAGTTCTGAAAAACTATATCAAAACATTCCGTTTAAAATCAGTGAAACAAATGCCTAATGACAATCATGCCAGGAATCTGTTGACGTCAATGGGTTAGATATTTTCTTGTTTTCTTCAATCATTATTGATTTTCTTTCACCCTTATCAGATAAGTAAAATGGCCTAGACTATATAGCATGTATTTGCTTTAGGTGTATTATCACAGTTGTCCCCCCATTACACCAAATAAGCTATGTAGGTGAACAAAATGCTCGAATAAGGGACATTTTGTATCAGATGTGATCTTGTGTGTTGTCTGGCGCTTTCCATATCCGTGTATTCTTGTGATTTTATAATTCGACCGTCGTCCAGAAACAAACGTGAACTTGAGCGACATTATGATCAGCGACGGCAGTGTAAGTCGACCCGCAAGCTCAGTCTCGTCTTAACTTGCTCGTCTGAAACGACTGTCAAACAATAATTGTGCTCCCAGAATGACCGACATTTTTGTGAGTATTTGTCAACACGTGCGCAAGTACATGCCACAAGATTAGTTGCTGTGTGCTGCCATCTTCATGTAACGGTCGACATATTTTACGACCTCTCAGATATAACCCACAAAACACTGATTTTAAAAAAATGTTAAATTTGTCTTAAAATATTTGGCTATTTAAATGTCTGAATTCTTCGCTTCTTTAAAAACAATCAGAATTTGACGTAGGCTTTATTTTTCATTAATCAAGTCAACATCTTGTAGTTTATATTTATATCACTGTTTACGATTTTAAATAAGAATAGCGGAAGTACCTTTCGTGAAATCGTAACCGATTTAATAAAAAAAATATTCATATTTGGTTTAAAATATTAAAATTAATGAAAAATACTAAGTTTGGTGAAATTATTTAATTATCAGTTAATAAGCATGATAAAAAAGAAAATACTATTTGTGCAAATTTACTAAAAAATGAGAAATATAATACAGAAACTATTGAACTTATTAAGTTAAAAAATTAAACCACAAAATTTACCTTTACTTCAGAAAGGTATTCAAGGAGTAATTGTTAGTATTTCCAGTCATGGGAAACGGTGCTAGCAAATATAGTAAACGGGGGAAAATACAAACATCATCAACAGCTGCAGGGGACGAACAATGTGTTACACGAAAAGCTACAACTAGCATTGATAGTAACGATGTGCATAGCGACGGCAATGATGTGTTAATCGTAGCTTCTAAATCAGGACACACAAAAATAGTGGAATATTTACTGCAAAGTGGTAGCGACGTTAATGCTGTTGGGGAAAATGGGTGGAATTCTTTGATGTTCGCCTCTGAAAGAGGACATGAACAAATTGTAGAACTATTAATTAAAAATGGAAGTGATATCAACGCTATTGAAAATGGCGGTTTAAATGCATTGATGATAGCCTCAAAAAATGGCCATGAAGAAATTGTTGAACATTTAATTAAACATGGGTGTGATTTTAAAGTTGTTAGCAATAAAGGAAAGAATGCATTAATGTATGCCTCTAAAAATGGTCATAAAGATATTATAGATCTTCTAATAAAAAGTGGCAGTGATATCAAAGCTGTTAACAATGAAGGATGGAATGCATTAATGATAGCCTCTAGATACGGACATGAAAAAACTGTAGAACTTTTAATTAAATGTGGCAGTGATATTAAAGCTGTCAAAGAGGATGGATGGAATGCATTAATGCTAGCCTCTTATAATGGACACGAACAAATTGTAGAACTGTTAATTAAAAAAGGCAGTGATATTAAAGCTCTTAACAATCAAGGATGGAATGCATTAATGCTAGCCTCTGAAAATGGACATAAAAATGTTGTACATTTTCTAATTAAAAGTGGAAGTGATATTAACGTTGTTGACAGACATAGAGAGAATGCATTAATGATAGCCTGTAGACATGGACACGAAACTGTAGAACTATTAATTCAAAATGGATGTGATGTTTCATTTGTTAACATTGATGGGTGGAATGCATTAATGATAGCATCTTATTATGGATACGACAAAATTGAACTTTTAATTAAAAGTGGGTTCGAAGTTAAAACCGTTGACAATGAGGGTTTGAATGCTTTAATGTTAGCCTCTGAGGCTGGACATGAAAAAATTGTAGAACTATTAATTAAACATGGGAGTGATGTTAATTATGCTGCTCTAAATGACGGGATGAATGCGTTAATAGCGGCCTCTAAGTTCGGACATGTGGGTGTTGTAGAGCTTTTGATTAAACATGGCAGTGATCTTGAATATTGTGCAGATGGAGGATGGCGTGCATTAACGATGGCCTCTTACAAAGGGCATGAGAAAACCGTAGAACTTTTACTTAGTAGTGGGGCTAATATTAATGCTGTTAACAATGAAGGGTGGAATGCACTAATGTTCGCATCAGAAAGCGGACATGAAGGAGTTGTTAAAATTTTAATAAAAAGTGGGATTGATATTAACGCTGCTAAAAAAAACGGATTAAATGCATTAATGATAGCCTGTATCAATGGTCATGAAAAAACACTAAAACAATTAATTAAAAGCGGCAGTGATATTAACGCTGCTGCTATTGACGGAATGAGGGCGATAATGATGGCCTCTCAAAATGGACATGCTAAAGTTGTAAAAAAGTTGCTTAAAAGTGGAAGTGACATTAATGCGATTGAAAATGATGGTTTGAGCGCATTAATGTATGCCTCTGCCAACGGGCATAAAGATATTGTTGAACTTTTAATTAAAAATGGCAGTGATGTTAAAGTTGTTTCCAATGATGGCTGGAATGCATTAATGTACGCCTCTAGAAAAGGAGATGAAAAAGTTGTAGAACTTTTAGTTCAAAATGGCAGTGATATAAACTATGTTACGAAATATGGTATAAGCGCATACAAAATAGCTTCTATCAGAGGACATGAAAACATTGTAGAATTTTTAGTCAAAAGTGGATGTGATGTTACAACTACTAAAGACGACGGATTTATTGAAAGATTACAAAAAGACGAAAGCGGGGCAGAAGCTTTACTCCAAAAAGTTAATGTGTCTCTGGTCTCTTCTGCAAATGGAATGCCATCGGTAAACAATGATGAATTGATAGGAACACAATATGCAGGTAAATACATGATCTCCATTTTGTCTTGGTCTTGGGTGTCGCTGTAGGTTTAACAATACACGTGACCAGACTAAACAAGGACTGGGGTGAAGACAGTTTACTCACGCATACAGTATCAACAGGTTAGGGAGTTGTTGTCCCGTCTGGTATATGACCTGGGGTGACCGTACAGGGGACAAAAAAACGACTGACCCGGGCAGATCACTAATTGGGTCCGGCAAGGAATTAGACTGCACAGAATGACGACGCTTTTTGTAATTACAATTAAGGTTTTAATTAGCACTCAAGACAGTCGAGGCTGGACGGTAGAATGGAGGTGACTCAGATTATTGTGGAGCTAGAAAAACATAGTTAGTGACGATAAAAGGGAGCATCGACATGTGGTAGATTTTAATGGACCCGAGCGAGATTAGTCTCAAAGGTATTCGAGAGACCCATAACATATTTTTTAAATCATGCAAGGTGTAATTCAAATTAATATGGTTTATTTATATAAATTAAAAAAGCGATTATGCAATAGAGTTTTTGTTTTATAAAACTTGTCGACCTTATTTCCTGTTGATCTTTGGTTCATATCGGCCTTTTGTTCATGTCGGCCTTTTGTCTTTGCTATGTCTGCCTTTTATCTAGATCTCTGTAAACATAATGTACTGCACTAATGATAGTTTCGAGACACAGAAAGACTGGTTGCATGTAAAATTTATAACTGTGGTTTTCCGTTTTTTTGTGTCTATTGGCTTTACTTACTCCTAAAGACTGATGAAATTATACATACAGTGAATAATGTGTTCAAATCAGTTAAGGAGCTAAAGAAACTGCTAAAATAAAATTTAGATATTACTAGTATGGACACTCTAAATAAAACCTATTTCTGGAACAAAAATGCATTCTGATACGATGACTGATCTAGCTTCAAATTTAGCACTTAATGTGATTTGTTGTTTTTTGTTCAATGAAAATAATTTTTATAAAGCGCCTTCCTCTTTTAAATAAATTTTATATGTTGATTATCTTTTTTGTTTTAGATTAAGGTAAGAAGTCTAATTACCCAAAGGGTTATTACCGAAGGGTTAGCCATGGTTGCACTGACATCCGATAGTAAGATAGTCTCAGGGGTAGATTTAGATTAGAAAAAGGATTTTAGACACCCCCCCTAGTCAGAGCTTACATTAATACGCCACTGTATGGTAAATGTAATCATTTTTGCATTTCATTCCTTTCAGAAACTGTTAATCAAAGAAAGCCAGTTCGTGGCCAGCTACAAGACAACCATTTTAAATTACTCCAGAAGGAGACATTGTATTTACTTCAGGAAATAGACGCTGAATTTTTAATTGACCATCTTTTTTCTAAATGCGTCATCAGTTTAGATGATCGTCATAAAGTTAGGGCTGAGAAAACACCAAGGGAGCGAACTCGTGTTTTTTTAGACATTTTATTTCATTCAGGACCTGAGAGGGCTTTTCCGGAATTTTTGGTTAGTCTAGAAACGGAATATCCACATGTTGCAGAGCGACTAAGGAAACAATTGTAACCTTGTTTAAAGATTTAGTCATTAAACAGATACTTTCCCTGAAAATCAAAATGATGGACGTTTATACCTTAAATTAGTATATTAAAAGTAGCGTATTCATTTGAATACCATTACGATGACATTAAACAATACAATTTGAAATTTAAGCGTATATATTTTAACTTTAAAAATATGAAAAACATATTTCTCGTATTTTTATTACGGTAAAACTAGGTCAATTTTACCGTAAATTCATTAAGTCAATTGAAAAGTGTAAACAGAAGCATATGCAAATGACAACCTGGCGTTAATGTGCAGGGCAATTTTATAGTTGAATTTTGTTTTTTTTAAATTCAATTACTTTAAGTTCGATTATTTTATAGATGTTGGTATCATCAGATCGTGGAGTCTCTTTTGGTATTTGACTTAGTTGACCATGTTTGATTTAATCTAAATATTAGAAAACACAACGACACTTGCTAGACCTTCAATCAGTCTAAATGTATGTAAGTTTTTGTATGCTTCGCTTTTTTTTAAAGTTTCCATTGATGTTCTATTAATTTGTAGAAAAAGCAAAGATTTGTTTTTTTAAATTTAAAAAAAAAATCGTATTTTAATAATTGTATAAACATATGTGCCACTATGGATGCATAAGACCAATTACCTTTTTATAGACATTTATTAATAATATACTTAAGGGTCCTATATATATATATATATATATATATATATATATATATATATATATATATATATATATATATATATATATATATATTTATTTATATATACATATTAATTACCTGTTTATATACATTTATTAATAATATACTATATAGGACATATATATATATATATATATATATATATATATATATATATATATATATATATATATATATATATATATATATATATATATACTAAACACAGCTTTTACTATATTTGATAACTATAAATAAATTATCTTCAGAATTTTCCCTCCGTTTTCCATCTATTTATTTAACTTTTTCTATTGTGTGTTCCTTGGTCGGTCTACCTTGTGGTGTTCAATTTTCCCATTGTGTTTTAAATGATAAGGGATATTATGGCAAACACATTAAAGCAATTTTTATATAAATACTTGCCTGATACAGAAATCGGGCAACAAATGGAAAAGTATTTTAAAATTTAAATATAAATAAATAAATGGTCAAAAATGATAGACCTAACAGGAAGATTACTGTTGCACCTCAGGGGAATCAGTCAATTGGGTGTCAGTGTAACTCCTGAAAACCTAGAGTGGTTAGCCCAACTACTAAGTTTAAACAAGATTTTTTTTAACGATAATGAACTATATAATTTTATTGAATTTAAACAACAAAGGAACCAAATGCAAGTCTTTGATAAAACAAACAAAACCAAACGAAACAACAAACTAAATTGAACACTTAGTCATGTTACTGTGAGAACTCTTACTCGTCAGATCTTGTTCTAGTTACAACAGTCAAATAAAACTGGCCTGCCCGTGCTTCCATTCCCAGTTCACACCACGTTCACACTTTATCCACACACAAAAACCCAGTCAAATAAACCGGGAGTGATCTCCCCTAAAAATTCTCGAATATTCTAATATAACACTACATGGGATGGCAACTCGGAATATAGACATGATTTTTCTTTACTTAAACTTTTAAAAATAGAATAGAATCTCGTAGAAAAAGAATTGTGCACCAAAACAAAATGTGCATAATAGTGCGCAATATTATTAGTACTTTATAAATTTACATGCGTTTTTTGAGAAATTGGAAATAGCTTAAATTACTACTTCCGGTCTACGGAAATTACTAAAAATTTGATAGAAGGAAGAGAATTAGATCTTTTACTTACGTGTGACATTTTATTTATCTATCTGAAATAGTACTCAAGTTATAGGCTTTAGAAAAATTCAAAGTAGTAAAAGTACCACTTCCGGTTATCGGAAATCGCTCAAAAGTTGACACGATTCTACGATTTTGATAAAATTCTTATATATGAAATTTCATCAACCTAGCTGTAACGGTACTCAAGTTATCGTGTTTACACACGGACAGACACACACACACACACACAGACTAGCAGACATACGGACAAGATTGCAAAATTATGTTTTTCCGTATCAGTGAGGTGTAAAACGTGGAGATTTGTAAAAATCTCGATTTTTTTTTTTTGCACGATTACAATACTTTCTCTATACTTCGTATATACGAGAAAGTAAAAAAGAGCTTTGCTTTCAATTTAGAATTAATTTTAATGGTATTTCACCATAAAAATAGGTTCGTCTATAAATAGAAGCTAAATATAGATCGTCGTTTTATATTTGTCTTCCTTTGTATTCTCCTCATGCCCCTGCCTCCAATACAATCTTCTATATATATAATTCTCTTCTGGGAGACGCTAGAAAACAAGCTGTAAACGCGCTCCCTACCACCCCCACCCCTACGTGGTCTGGTGAGCTGTGGTTCACTCTAAATGTTTACAAACAGAGCCTGGTTTAGTGACGACTATTAAGGGCAGATAATTTAGTTTGAAACGATTTTAAACGTAGGAGGGGGGGGGGGGGAGTAACTAAGTGGAGTTTACTGTAACGGAGGGGGGAGGAGGGGGGGGGGTTATCGTCCTTAACGAGATACTTATAGTGTTTTAAAGAAATATTTTCAGTGGCAGCGTTGGTACTGTCGAATTCACAAATTATGAATTACTGAAAAGTAGAAAATAAAACAACTAAATAGCGGCGTATGATACGCCGCGGGTCGGCTCGTAACATAATAATTGTCAAACAAGGCGAGAATCATAGCATCAAGCTAATCGCGATTTTTACGGACATTTTAATGCTGCAGTATTTCAAATCCTCTTATATTTTTACTTTCTTATATACAAAGTATAGAGAAAGTATTGTAATAGTGCAGTGTGTGTGTGTGTGTGTGTTTTCTGTGAACACGATAATTTTAGTGCCGTTAAAGCTAGGATAATGGAAATTCATATATAAGTATTATATTAACATTGTAGTTCTGTATCAACTTTTCAGCGATTTCCGATAACCGAAAGTGGAACTTATTCTACTTTTAGGTTTTCAACAGCCAATATAACTTGAGCACTGTTTCAGACAGACGAAATTTCGCATAATGAGAAAAATATCTAATTCTCAACCTTCGGTCAAACTATGAGTAATTTCCGTTTATCGGAAGTAATAATTTACGCAATTTCCCATTTCTCAATAAGAATGTATAAAGTGCTAATATTCCGCACTATTATAAACACATTGTTTGCTGTTCAGTTTGTGCGCAATTCTTTTTTCTACGAGATTCTATTCTATTTTTAAAAGTTTAAGTAATTAAAATGGATTTAAAATCATGTCTATATAACGAGTTGCCATCCCCCGTAGTGTGATATAAGAATATTCGAGAAAATTTACTAATCCCTCTTTTTTATTCATGGCAAAGCCTGGTGAGACAATAGGGCAGTATTGCTGCTACTATTGCATTTCACATATCTCTTCAATCTGTCTAGGCAAGCTATGTAATTTGACTAAGTCTATTGGGAAGCCATAAATCAATAAAAGACAATTAAACATTTTCAAGTCAAGTATGAACATTATCGAACGAACATTGGAGTGTTTTTTATTCTATGATTAATCTAACGTGTGTATAACATGAATAGTTCAGTAGTTTATTAACTGTGTCTTGTGTGCTAATGTAAACGACAAATACAGCAAAATTTCAGTCGTTTTCGCAAGTTGACGGCTGTTAGATATGTTACCTGAAATGTATAAAAAGTTCCATCAATGAATTGTATTGCCCATATCTAAGCGGTTTTTTGTGCATCAGTCTCTTCCCCCCCCCCCCCCCACCCCCTCCTACACACACACTCGCCCATAACCCTAACCTAATAAAATTTACATTTAAAAAAACACCTGAACCGATCAACGTCAACAGCGTAAAATAGTTATGTAACGCAGGTGACATAGATAACATAGTAAAATGAATGAAGATAAAATTGGCAGGTGTCAAAGCCTGTCTCCTCAAGCACGTAAGGACTAATTTTACCAAAGGCTTGCTAGCCAAAATATTCTTTCATATTCTGTTTTTCCCATAAAATACAAAAAGTATATAGGAAAATACGACTGGTCAGTTTTTACCCATTTCCAGATTTTTCCTGGATATGGCGAGTTTTTTTTTTGTGACACCCCTAAGCGTTCTCCTACCACCTCACAAAATATCAAGGGGGGTCGTTGGGCAAAAAAAAATTTTATAATATAGCCCATATAAGGCGTCGGTCAGTCCTCTAGGTGGACTTGTTGGCCGACCGGCACCGGCTCTCGTGTTCTATCGCCCCAAGGCAGACTCATGCCAAATCTGAAGCGACTGCGGTGCCGGGAAGTGCCCTGTACCTGACAACTTTGCTTTATAATTATATAATTATATAGATAACCATTAGCTTTTTGATACCTATTATACGTGTCTATATTGTTAAATTGTAACGTCATATTTCAGTGTATAGATGGAGACAATCACCAGTCACATTCCCAGCAACAAAAAACATCCCATTAAGCGCAGATGATTTTTTTAGTTTTCCCAGCAATCTGCTCTATTTGCATCAAATATTTATATGTAAAGCCTCATTAAAACAACAGCTCTAAGTATATCTCAGCATAGGAACATTTCTTATATAATTCATTTCATTAAATTATTAAAACATAAACGATTTTCCAGATGATGAAGGGGTCTCCTCATAATTTTTTTTTTTTTAAATAAAAGAATTTATTGTATTGTTGATGATGACCGTTATTGGTAGCCATATAATCTGGGGCATTTTGAAAGCAGCTCTTTTCTGTGTATTCCCAGACGCAAAAGTACATCCAGCTAATGGGTACAAGCCTTAAGTTCGAGAAAGTAAAGGAAGCATCTTACGTAGTAATTTTACAACTATTGCTTTGACCAAACAAGAGCAATAATGCTATTATTAGGAGAAAAAGGAACCGCAGTGTGTATGCATGTATGTAGGATAACATAACTGAATAACAA